GGCAAAAGGATTCCTTGAACCCAAGAGTTTGAGGTTGCTGTGAGTTATGATGCCACGGCACTGTACTGAGGGTGACAAAGTGAGATTCATTCTCAAAAAAAAAAAAAGCTTAGAGCCTGAATTTATACCCCTCCTTTGACTTTTTTTAACCCCACAAATCATGAAACACTCCAATGGCTCCATCTTCAAAATACATCTCTGGACCAGGAATGGTAGCTTGTACGTGTAATCCCAGCACTCTAAGAAGCTGAGGCAGGAGGAATTTTTCAGGCCCAGAGTTTGAGATTAGCCTGAGTTAGACCTCATCTCTACAAAAAAGAAAAATTAGCCTGGAGTAGCAGCTTGTAGCAGGGGCTACTCGGGAGGCTGGGGCCAGAGAATTGGTTGAGTCCAGAAGTTGGAAGTTGCAGTGAGCTACAATGATACCACTGCACTCTAGCAGGGGCGAAAAGGAGAGGACCCTGTCTCAAACGACAAAACAAAATAAATACATCTCCTTTCTCAGGTTGCCCTCTGCAGACTGGCAGAATCTTAGCTAAAAAATAGCTTAAACGTGGCCCTGGGCCAAGGAGACTTATGAACAAAGGTTATTTGAGCCCCCTGGGTGCGGAAATGAGATGGCCTATGGAGATGTTAGTAGAATTGGTTATCACTTCATACACAAACTCTGGTTTTCCTGTTTTCCCTTGTATCACATCATAAGCATTTTTTCTTGTCACTAAACGTTCCTTGAAGGTATTGACCTCACAGCTTGCAAATGCTCGCCAAGCCTGATGAGAGCTCTGGACAGAGAAATGGCCACCTGTATCCCCATCTGTCCCAGACTGTCCTGCATCTTTTAGGGACCCCCTGAACTGGCTGATTCCCTCCTGCATTAAGAAGGTCTTGTGGATCCCTCCCTAAAGATGAGGTGGCCCTACCTAACCCGAGGGGCCCTGCCCTGTTCCTCATTGAGTCCCCCAAAGCCAAGAGAGAAAAGCAGAGTCAGTTAACTTCTCCTGGAGGTCATGCCACAGGCACTCAAAGGCTGCAAGGCCCCCTTATCCATCCCTTCTTTGCCTGGGAGAGGTGCAAAAAGAGGCTTTGTGGAGCCAAAGGAATATCCCTGGGACCCTGGAAATTACTGTATTTGCCAAGAGGGGAGCATAGGACATATGCCAGCCCAGGGTTAAACTCAGGGTTTATCTGGATTTACCTCCATTGATCTTCAGAACCACCCACATGCTGGATCCATCGTTATTCACATTTTGCTGATGACCTTTATCAGACAGTGTGATGTCCAATAGAATGCCAGACCTGTGGCTTTTCCAACTTTCAAGCCTCCTGGCTCATTAATTCCCACAACAATCTTAACTTATCTGGTACTTTTAGCTCCATTTTGTAGACAGGGAGCTCGAGCTCAGAGGATTTGATACTTTACTCTTGGTTTTTACCTAAGTCACAAATTAGTTTCTGGTCCAGTCAGACTAAGCAACTTCTCGCACAAGCACACTTGTTACTCTGGACAGGAGAGAACATCCTTGCCCACTCCCAGCTCACACAGAGCCTGCAGGGCTGGAGAATGCAGACCTCCTGGACTGAGTGTCCAGGCTGCCCACCTCTATCCCAAGCCACACAAGACTCTGACACCCTACCCTCCACCACCTCCCAAAACCACCTCTGTGCACCAGGACTTGGGGGAGCCAGGCACACTGTGGGGGAGGTTCTAGATACCTCAAACCCAACACCTTTTCCTACCTGGAAGAAGCCAACAGGAGAGCTGGAAAGCACTGCTGTCAGAGGAAGACACTAGGTCTTGTAGGTTGAACCCAGCCCCACCCTCACCTGCCACCCTTCCTGATCTAATCAATTTGGCTCACATCCTATGGCTGGTTTAATCTTTCTTCTCTGGTTGGGAAATGCTGCTTTTGAGCTAGCTCCTCAGTTCTTCTCACACTCATCTCAAATTCCTTGTTCTGATGCCCTGTCTGAGCAGGTGGTCTGGCTCACCCATGTGTGCTAACTGGAGTTCCTTAACTGGAGACCAAGACACTGGGCCAGCCCACCCTGGCATCCCCCACCAGGAGAGCGGACATGACATTGGTAAGATGATTCTAAAACTCATCTGAGAAAACAGAAAATTTAAAAAAAAAAAAAAAAAGGGCGGCACCTGGGGCTCAAAGGAGTAGGGCACTGGCCCCATATGCCGGAGGTGGTGGGTTCAAACCCAGCCCCGGCCAAAAACAGCAAAAAAAAAAAAAAAAAGCCAGGTACTGTGGCTTCCACCTGTAATCCTAGTACTCTGAAGTCTGAAGAGGGAATCTGGATGCTAATACTGTCACCTTGGGCCATCAGCTAAGTTCTCAGCAGCTACCATTAAGTGGAGATAACTCCTGTGTCCTCAGGCTGCACTGAGTCAGTGAGGTGATGCCTGGGGGTGCCTATGGAGGGAACTCAACTACAATGCCAGGAAGAGAGTAAGACAGGGACCTCCAGCCTCCCTGGAGCTGTGCAACAGTCACCACCACGTGGGACCCTTGTGATCTAATAAGAATGGGAAAGATGCGTTTGCTCAGCTTGGGAAAAGGCTCATCCACAGGTCTTAGAGAAAATCCCCATGACCAGTCAAGAGAAAACAAAAGGAAAGCTTTGCAGTGCTAGCTCCCACACAGACACTCCCCTCTGCATTTTGACCAAAGGGCCTCACAAATTCAGTGGCTGACCCTGGTGGAGGGTCCTGCCATTGAGGAAAGACCTCACATATTTAGGAACTAGACCCAATGAGGTCCCTAGTTCCCTGAATTTGAATGCAACACACTCTTTTTAGGGTTTATCTTTATTTGTCCCTCACCATAATAAGTAAAAAATATAATTAGTGAAAATACAAGATTAAACTTTTTAAAATTGTCATTCTGCAAATATGGCCAGAATGTGCGGCAGGGGCGCAGCCACAGAGGCAGGTTTGAACGGCAGTAACACAAAATATACAAAGAGGCTCTTTCCTTACATTGCATAGAAGAACCCCGACTTATTTCCAAATAACAGTTAGAAATAACAGGTACAAATCCCCTGAACATCTACTATATAACCTAAGACAGATGAGTGACTAGACATATAGAATATAAATGGCTCTATTAGGGAAGTGATATGTACACGGAGAAAGGTGGAGAGAGGGTTAAGAAGTCAGAGTCCAACCTGTTAAGACGAGGGGAAGGGGAGAGGGGCGTGGTCACGGAGAGGCGTGGTTGCTTCGGGGGCGTGGTCACAGAGCCAGCCCCCTGCCTTTCCCTTCAACAGGCCATAGCTCTCTGGCCCCCACGGGGGGCATGGTAGAGGGTGGAGGGTCAGCAGCAGAGGTGTGACTAAGACAGGGGCTCTAGAAGGCACAGAGAAGGCATCTGGGACTAGAAAGGCCAGGCTCTTTTTGTAGAGACAGTTTCACTTTATCGCTCTCAGTAGAGTGCCGTGGCATCATACAGCTCACAGCAACCTCCAGCTCCCGGGCTTAGGTGATTCTCTTGCCTCAGCCTCCCAAGTAGCTGGACTACAGGCGCCCGCCACGACGCCCAGCTATCTTTTTGTTGCAGTTTGGCCGGGGCCGGGTTTGAACCTGCCACCCTGGGTATATGGGGCCGGCGCCCTACCCACTGAGCCACAGGCGCGGCCCAGGGCCATGATCCTTCGACTCATGGACACGGGCACAGTACTACACTGCTAGGTCTCTGAGCAGACCAGGCTCTCCCTGCTCCCCCAAGAAAATTCTAGGCATTTACAAGACACAGAAACCGACAGGAGCAGGAGACCTAAGTTCTTCTACAGGAAATTGGAAAATGTTTGGAAAGAGATTCCAGTGGATGCGGGAATAGATGGAAGGAAGTTGACCACTCTGTCTGTCCTAGAAAACTGAGCTGCACAGCAATAGGGGGAGGAAGAGAGGGATGGGGACCTGTCCATCCACAGAAGGACCTGGGATTCCGGATGAGTGGTGCTGGGAAAGGGACTAGAGAACTTGCGTATCTTATCCCCAAAAATCCAACGGACATTTTTATCTTACCAAGACAGCAGCATTCATCAGTATGGCTTCTATATTAGCTAAATTCAGAAGAACATGGGGCTCTTTGGGCAACTGTCTCCGCGAAATGGTAAGCACTCCCTACCCCTGCCCCATCTCTCCAGCTCAGGAGCAGGGCCTCCCTCCCCAAAAAAGACAACAGGTGAGCCAAAGTCGGTCCTGAACCTCTTTCTGTAACTCATGTTGGCGTGCATCCTGGAGATGTTAGGACAGACACCACAGGTGAAATGTCTGGGCTGCTCCACCTGCCCAGGAGAGGGACCCTGACGGGGAATTGCAGAACACTAGGAAGTAGGACAGCCCCCCACCTGTGGATGTCTCCAAGTTCCCAAACAATCACACCATACTCCCTGACCTATGGATCTGGGGCAAGGCTGGCTGGGAGCAGCACGCTAGCTTGAAGGCACACTTCAGTGAGATGCCAGAACTCTGTGCACACACAGGCATACACGCTCCTATCCACCTTTGAGAACCTTCCATACACTCTTCTCTGGGGCCTTTTCCAAACAAAAAACGTTTATGTTTTAAAAGGGTCCTACTGAGCATCCAGGTTAGTGCAGACCTGATCATCTGCCCAGCCAGGCTCACTGAGTCTCCCTCAGTGTAGTCCGCACCTTTCTGGGAGTGGAAAACCAAGGGGCCAGAGGCTGAGACACCGCTGGCCCACAGGCTGGTATATGGGGTGGGCAGTGAGTATGTGAGGGAGTGAGGGCGTGTGGTAACTCCACTGGTTAACAGGGGCCAGATCTCCTGAAGGTAGAA